TTTGCATACGATGCTTGTTTATACATACGGGCACTTTTAAACATTGTTGTTTGGATTTCACTCTTCTGGCTTTGGATTCATTTGTGCAGAAATATCTTTTTTGTCATTTTTCTTTTATAATCTTACATCAATTTTGCTAACGAAATCATCCATGGTCGTAGGATTGCAGTGCAGCATTTAAATACGTGGCTGCAAGGTGCATGATCAAATCAGGGAGATTGCCATCTCTCCCTCTTCGACATCACTCTATGATAGAAATCTTGGCGCTCCTTTTCTCTATTGCTCATGAAATATATTAGGTTCCCATGAACTCTCGTCACCCCTCTGTGCTGGAGCAATTAGGAACTTAGTTCTTCTACTTAGTTTTCATTTGCTATCTATTATCCAGCCTCATTCCCTCTGCCCCACCCGGTCTCAAGGAATTACTATTCTGTGTTCAGGTTGGCTTCTTCTGCAGCTTCCACACAGGAGGGAGAACAGGTGGTGTTTGTCTTTCTGGGTCTGGCTTACGGAAAAAGTCTTTCACAGTAACACCTTCCATGACTAGTAAATTTCTTCTCTTTCTAAAGTTTTGTTTTCCATCTGAAATATTCTTTATCTCTCCTTTACTTTTGAATGCCTGGCCAGCCGACCGGAGAGAATCACAGCTATTTTGCCATTTGCCTGGGCTTTTATTGTTGAGGTTAGGAATCTGTTGTGAGAGTGTTCGTCTTTGTTTTGTGCTTTATCTTATCTCCGTGGTTGCTTTTTTAACTTCTCCCATTCCTCTTCACCATTCTGTCCTTTAACCACCATGGGAGTTAAGGAATTATTTTTGTTTGTCATGGATATTTGCATGTGTGAATTTGAGAGTTCACATCTTTTATCCTCAACAGTATTAGCCATTCCGTTTCTGAATATTGTATCTCCTGGATTCTGCTGATTTTCTTCTGCACTGCTTCTCCACATTTCATGTTTTTAATTGATTTCCCCTTTTAACCACAAACTTTTTCATAGATGCCTTCCAATTTCTACCTCTCTGTTCACCTAGATTTAGCTTTCTCCTTGTTAAATCTTTCATGTAATGGCCAAAGTGTTCTGGATGTTTTCTGTCTGTTACTGGTCTCTGAATATGCTTTAACTCCCTAGTGTCTTGCTGTAGTTTGGAACGTTGGTCCTTTAGTGTCAATGCTACAGGTATGGTGTAGCCTTTTCACATTGTTTTATGATGCAAAGTTGCTGTAATCCTAACAGTCCTGTTGGTGAGGTCAGCTGATTTGCAGATGTGGGTGATGACATGTGTTCTGGAGTTTTGACAGTAAACACATGAGCAGAGAATCCTGTGTGGCCTGGGTGGGGAGTGTGTTCACAATGGCTCTGTTTGCTCCTGCAGGTGCCCCAGAAGTATCTGGATTCCTTGTTCTGTTATTTTCCACAGTGCTCTGCAGAGGCACATTCACTCTTTTTTAAAAAAGATTTATTTATTTATTTGAAAGGCAGAGTTACAGAGAGGCAGAGGCGGAGAGAGAGAGAGAAAGAAAGAGAGAGAGGTCTTCCATCCGCTGGTTCAGTCTCCAGATGACCACAACAGCTGAAACTGTGCCGATCCAGAGCCAGGAGCTTCTTCCAGGTCTCCTACACGGGTGCAGGGGCTTGGGCCATCTTCTACTGCTTTCCCAGGCCATAGCAGAGAGCTGGATCGGAAGTGGAGTAGCTGGGTCTCGAACCAGCGCCTATATGGGATGCTGTCACTTCAGGTCAGGGCATTAACCCACTGCGCCATAGTGCCGGCCCCAACATTCACTCTTAAAAGGGCAAAACTCTGAGCTCTGGGCATAGTATCAATTTAGACCCCAAACCCATGTGTAAGCTCCGGTTCTGGGCTATGATTTTTTTTTTCTCTCCCTTTCTGGGCCCATTCGGAGGCTCTGTCCTGGATTGTCTCATTGTGCTGGTCTTTGGATTCCGGGAAGAGAATACGACCGTCTTTCGAGGCTTAGTCTTTCAGGGACCACATCCCTGCAGGCATTTGCATTCCCATTCTGCTTCTCCAGGGAACCTGGACTCCCATTTCCTGGGTGTGTGCTGGAGCTCTAACCCTGTAGTCTGGCACGGGTCAGCCACCCTCCTTCACGCTGTCTTAGCAGACACGGTCTCAGTTCTGATTTTGACTTACCCCTTTCTTTCCTGCAAGCTCAGCGAAGTGCCTGAAAATCATTTTATTGTATTTCTGCCTTTTACTGGAAAGTGGTCATCATGTTTAATCCTCTGTCTTGCTGGAAATAGAACTGCCTCTTACGGGAGGTTTTTCTTTTTTCAACTTGATTGATATATTTATTACTTATTTAAATAGATCCTCATTGATTTAGAAGTGTACAGCTTACTGGGTTATAGCGTATTCACGAACCAGTGTAATTATCATTAGAACCTAACCTCCGTAACACTTCCATCTCACCACAAAAAAACCCTGGACACGTTAGCCATCACTCTCCACTTCCTCCTTGTGTTCCCCTAAGCCCTAAGCAGCCCCTCATCCCTTACCTGGGTCTGTGCAACTGTCCAGTTTGTATATTTCATGGGAATAGAATCATGTACCATGTGGTCTTTTGTGAATAGCTTTGTTTACTCAACAGTGCTTTCCAGCTCAGCCATGCTGTCACATCCACCATGACTTCACTGTCTTTTGTTGCCAGTGCATGTGTGTCTCTCAATGTTGTTTACCCATCCCTCCGTCCATCTGTCAATGGACGTTTTGCTGATATGAATCCATGCTGCTGTGAGTGTGTATGAGTGTTGGGTGGACATATGATTTCACGTCACCTGGTTATACACCCCAGAAGGCACTTGTGGAGTCTTATGGTAACTAGTTTTCGGCATTTTGAAGAACTGGCACTCTTTTTCCAAATGACCGGACCGGCGCATTTGACATCCCCACTGGTAATATATTTATCACGAGTGATCTTCAAGCCTAGAGTTCTCATGGATCTCTGAGCATGGTACAAGTGATACTGTTGGGAGGGTTTCTTATACGTTGATGTACAAGGAGAGACAGAAGCAAGGAAGCAGGAAGTGTTGGAGAATTCTCTCAGTTGGTGGAGTCTCTGTTGAGAAGAGGTTAGTTTCCAGAAGTGTATATGAGACAGTGGACTTGATGCTCAGGCAGAAAACTGACGAGCATCTGAGACTGACTCTGACCTGCTAGCCATATCTTTCCTTTGCTATTTTTGTCCTTAAAGATTTTATTTACTTATTTGAGAGGTAGAGTCACAGACACAGAGAGAAAAGTCTTCCATCCACTGGTTCACTCCCCAAATGGCTGCAACAACCAGAGCTGCACCCATCAGAAGCCAGGAGCCAGGAGCTTCTTCTGGGTCTCCCACATGGGTGCAGGGGCCCAAGAAGTTGGGCCATCTTCTACTGCTATCCCAGGCCACAGCAGAGAGCTGGATCAGAAGAGGAGCAGCTGGGACTTGAACCGGTGCCCATATGGATGCCTGCGCCACAGGCAGAGGCTCAGCCCACTGTGCCCCAGTGCTGCGCCTTTCTGTTGCCTTTATTTTTATTTTATTTTTTTTTTGACAGGCAGAGTGGACAGTAAGAGAGAGAGCAAGGTCTTCCTTTGCTGTTGGTTCACCCTCCAATGGCCACCACGGCCGGCGCACTGTGGCCAGCACACCGCGCTGATCCGATGGCAGGAGCCAGGTGCTTCTCCTGGTCTCCCATGGGGTGCAGAGCCCAAGTACTTGGGCCATCCTCCACTGCACTCCCTGGCCACAGCAGAGAGCTGGCCTGGAAGAGGGGCAACCGGGACAGAATCCAGCGCCCCGACCGGGACTAGAACCTGGTGTGCCGGCGCTGCAAGGCGGAGGATTAGCCTAGTGAGCCGCGGTGCCGGCCTTGCTCTTGATAGCACAAAGCACTTTTCTGTTTTCAGAGCAGTAGGGAGGGGAATGCCGGCCTTGCCTTGTGTGTGATGGAGAAGCAGCCTCTTGACCTTTCACTGGCTTAGGGATGTTTTCCTGGAAGTCTTTGTTCCCCGTGGGCTCCATTGGCTGCCACCATGATAACCAAGGGAGCTGTTGACTGCTCCGGTCCATGTTTCTTCTCTCGGGGGTGGCAGCAAAATGCTGGGTGTTGGATACACAGCCTGCAAACGGATCAGGTGCTGTGTATGCACGTGTGCATGCCTATGTGTGCACATGGGCACACACATGTGTGCACCGAGTTGCTGGAACATTCAAACATGCAAAAGGCAAGGAGAGTCTTGGCAGCCGAAGTTTCGGAAGCTAAGTAGTAAACTGGCTCTCCAGTACCTCCAGGGTTTAAAAATTGCCTAGCATGCTGTTTATCGTGTGATGGAACAATAGGCTTAAAGCTGCCACCACCCTGGGAACTCGAAATTGCTCAGTGAGGCTTGTGCCAGAGGCCTCCCACTCACCTCGGCGTGGTTAACACCCTTCTGGGGTTTGTTCGTGATTTATTCGCAACCGTTTTGTATTTCCTTTTGCCATTTTGATGAAATTCAAATTACAGCCATTAGCTGAAGGGCTGTGTCAGACCATCCCATGCTTTAAACTCAGGATAAAATCAGCTCAGATCAAACAAAGACTCCCACACTGTGGCAGTGACCTGGCCCTTTGGTATCCCAGTCCTGCAACCTGGTAGGTTCTCCCGGAAGATCTTAACCATATGGGATGCCGACACTGCAGGTGGCGGCTTTACCCCGCTATGCCACAGTGCCAGCCCCTTGTAGACTCCTGTTTTAGAATCTAGAGCCCCCAAAGAAAGGGCAGGCTCCTGGTTCATAAGCAGACTTGAGCCCCAGAACTCACTGCTGCCAGGACCTGCTGCCCCTTAGATGCATTTATGGGGTGCAGGGCTGGGACCGATGCCTGGAGAGCATGGTTGTTTTCTTTGCGAGGTCGTGGGACGATTTCCGTTGTTGCTAGCTAAGTATGAAGGACACATCCTGATCATGGTGATGTTGCCAACCTTTCTTTTTCTTCCCCTTCTTTTTCCAGGCTTATCCAAATCCCTCGGGCTCATTGAAGGCTACGGTGGGCGGGGCAAAGGGGGCTTACCTGCCACCCTTTCCCCAGCTGAAGAGGAGAAAGCCAGGGGACCCCATGAGAAGTACGGCTACAATTCCTACCTCAGTGAAAAGATTTCACTGGATCGTTCCATACCGGATTATCGTCCCACCAAGTGAGTCCTGTCTCCGGGATTTGCAGGGCTTGGCTGGGGTGTGTGGGTGGGTACACGCTCATGTCTGTGGCATTTCTTCGTGGCCTTTGCAACCAGCAGGGGGGGTTTAATATCAGCGTCCACCACAGTCGACGAACTGTGGACTGTGGTTGTTTGGGAAATATTAGCTAAACAGAAACGTGAAATCCCCATTAAAAGTGATCTAGAAACATAAACAAAGGTCTTTAATACAAAAATGTTTACATGATACAAAAATGTTTACACTATATCATTACCAATCAACAGTGATGGTTAAGGCCTTTGTATATTTTTTGAGTCTATTTTGTATATTTTTTAGTCTATTTTTCTATCCAGATTATGAACGTAAGATATTGTTTTCATATTTTTTCACTTAATGTTATATTGTTATGAGCATTTTTGATGTCATTAACTCCAATATGTCTTCCATTATTAAAAATGTAGGTTATTATTAGTTTTGTATTGCATACAGCATCCTGATAAATATTCCCTGTGCATCGATTCGTCTTGACATCACAGTGTAGGAAGATGGGGTAAATGTTAAAGTTTCTTGGAAATGCAAGTAAAAGATAAGTTTATTTGGTATAAAAATATTGAAATCCTAGGCTGGTGCTGTGGCACACCTGGTTAAGCCACTTCTGCCTATAGTGCTGGTATCCCATGTGTGCACTGTTTTAGGTCTTGGCTGCTCCACTTCCAATCCAGCTTCCTGCTAATGCGCCTGGGAAAGCAGTGGAGATGGCCTGAGTAATTGGGCCCCTGCAACCCACATAAGAGACCCAGATGAAGCTCTTGGTTCCTGGCTTCCGACTGGCCAAGCCCTGGCTGTTGTGGCCATCTGGGGAGTGAACCAGAGGATGGAAGACCTTTCTCTTTACCTCTCCTTCTCTCTCTGTAACTCTGCCTTTCCAATAAGTAAATAAATGAATCTTTAAAAAAAATTGAAATCCATGCATAAGATAGATTTCAAAAAGTTCATGGAAAATGAAATTTAAAAAAGCTTGCACGGATTTCAATTTTTTTTTTTTTTGTAGCAAATACTTACCTTTTAATTCTTTTTTTTCCCATGAGCTTTTGGAAGCTTGGTGTACTTTTGGGGGGTGTTTATCTGTATTTCATTATTTTTCTCCAGAAAATTTCTAGCAGTTTCTCTTCCTACTGGAATTTTCCTAGACCCTTCCAGTTCTCGGTCCTAGCATTTAGAACAAGTGCTTTGCCCAGTTGATAGGTGAGAAAGTGCATCCCATTAAATTTGTTGCAACTTGCAGCTTTTGGATTGAGATTCCTACCTTTCATGATTTGGTCGCTGGGGTGAGTATTCAGTGCACTGCATAAGAAGCCTCTTGGGGCCGGCGCCGCGGCTCACTAGGCTAATCCTCCGCCTAGCGGCGCCGGCACACCGGGTTCTAGTCCCGGTCGGGGCGCCGGATTCTGTCCCGGTTGCCCCTCTTCCAGGCCAGCTCTCTGCTGTGGCCAGGGAGTGCAGTGGAGGATGGCCCAGGTGCTTGGGCCCTGCACCCCATGGGAGACCAGGAAAAGCACCTGGCTCCTGGCTCCTGCCATCGGATCAGCGCGGTGCGCCGGCCGCAGCGCGCCAGCCGCGGCGGCCATTGGAGGGTGAACCAACGGCAAAGGAAGACCTTTCTCTCTGTCTCTCTCTCTCACTGTCCACTCTGCCTGTCAAAAAAAAAAAAAAAAGAGAAGCCTCTTGGGACACTCACGTCCCATGATGAAGGCTCGGGTTCACCCTGGCTCCACTTCAAATTCCAGCTTCTGCTAATGCACCCTGGGAGGCAGCAGTGATGGGGCAAGCACTTGGGTCCCTGCCACCCATAAGGGAGACCTGGACGGAGTTCTGGGCTCTTGGCTTTGGCCTGGCCCAGCCCCAAATGTTGTAGGCATTTGAGGAGGTGAACCAGTTGGATGGAGGGAGTCTCTCTCTGTCTCTCTTTCTGCCTTTCAAATCAATCCATTCACAATGAACATATTAAAAAGGATTTAAAAAGAAAACACAAAAGCTTTGAGTGCATCTTGGCCGGGCCACGAGCAGTCTTTGTCTGTGCTCCTGGCTTTGGGATGATTTGTTTTCTCTGCGTGAAGCAGAGACCTGAGTTTGGACAGAGTCAAGAAGCTGCAGTGAAAGGCCCTGCTTACAGACAGGCCTTGACCTTGACTTCTCAAGCAGAAGCGCCCTCATCTGTCAGAGTCCCAGAGTCTCTCCTTTTCCATCCAGAGGGTGCCCTCGCTTGGAGTAGACCATTTCTTTTTTTCAGCTGGATTCTGTACAAATCACTAAGTATCTCGGCTACTGAGCAAAATAGATTTGAGATAAAGAAAATTATCTTAAATGGATTTAAAATTGCAGCATTAGCAGGGAAGCCTGTTAAGTCTCTCTGTCTCTCTCTCTCTCTTTGCCTAATAAGCATATATTCATTTGCGATTCACTTGGAAAACACACATCACCCCTGTTGGAAGCTGTTTTGTGTGCCTGGACTTCAGCTCTCAAAAACATCTGGCTGTTTTCATTTCCTGGTGCTTTCTCATTAGCCTTTCTTATTTGGACGTTGGCAAATAAACACAGCCATATTTCTTGTTCTTCTATGACAAAGAAAATGCATCCAGTGTGCAGCTACCGGCATGGGTGGGTTGAGTATATTTCCGTGAACGCCTGTTATATATGTCTGATGGAGTTCTCTCCACACTGTGATGAGCCACAGTCCAGGCTAGTTGTTGTCCCAGAAGGGAGACAGCTCTATGGACAGGTCAGTTTAGCACGCAGTGGGTCAGCTTTAAGATGCACCCTGGATATCCAGAGGGAGTCTCAGTTTCCTGCTTGACATGATGCCTGTGCGAAATCTTAAAGACCCAGTAAGGACTGGAAAACTGAGGAAGGTGGGGGGGGGTAAGGGGGGCCAGGCAGGGGAACAGCCAAAGACCACTTGAGTGTGGTGTGCTTGGGGGCAGTGTATGCTTTGGTGTTGCTGTGTGGTGTAACGTGATGGCTTGTCCCTACTGCTTACGTGTGGCACCATTCTGAAATCAGAGAGGATGGGGACCAGTAAGGGAAAATGAAACAGGTTGGGTGGTGACAGCAGGGAAGAGACACCGACAGAATGTCGAAACCTGGGAAGAAGCTCGATGTGTGGAAATGGACGCAGCTGACTGGGGAGGCTGAGACCGCCCGGGGAGGGTAGAGGCAGAAGAAGGTAGCAGGGTCAGATCGCCAGATGTTAGGAACTGGAGGTGCCAGATGTTTCTGATGGCTCAGACATGGGTCTGAATGGATGATTGCAGTTACCTCCCTAGATCCTTCCAGAACGGCCTTGCCTACAAGGCAGATCACGGGAGGTTTCTTCCCTGGAGAAGGAGAACTCCAGGCTGTGGGGGACAGTGAGACTGCACACTTGATGTGGGGGAGCTCCCAGCCTCGCTGTCCCTGTAGGCAAGATTTTAAGAATCCACTGAAAGGGAACCATCCAGTGTCAGGAAGAGGTGGTGGATCTGATGGCTAGGGTTACCAACAGAAGAGCTAAGGTCTGCTCACTATTGGTGTGGCGCACCTGCTGCAAAGCACCTGCTGCAGCTGTTTGTCTCTAAAGAATGAAAGGAGAGGCAGGAGCCACAGACATCCCAGCAGAGTCTCTGTTATCAAGAACTTGGCAACAAACCACCTCCATGGAAAAGGCACTTGGAGGAAGCAGGCTACAAACTCTGTAACTGTGTTCAAGGCTTAGGTCGTAAGATGTTTTGTTTCGCTTACAAAACAGGTCTCTGTTAATGTAATCATCACAGAATAAAAAATCATGGAGCTAGAAAATTAGATTGAAGTAAATAACAGAGGTTTGGAAGAGTAAATCTTCTTAAAAATAGAAAAAAAATAAATTAAAAAATTGGAAAAAAATAACACACATACAAAAAACACCAGAGAGGGATGGTTGATCAGATCAACCCAGCAGGTTCAACATCCACTAATAAGAATATCATAGAGGGCCAGCACCGTGGCTCAATAGGCTAATCCTCTGCCTGCGGCGCCGGCACCCTGGGTTCTAGTCCTGGTTCTAGTCCCGGTCGGGGCGCCGGTTCTGTCCTGGTTGCCCCCTTCCAGTCCAGCTCTCTGCTGTGGCCAGGGAGTGCAGTGGAGGATGGTCCAGGTGCTTGGGCCCTGCACCCGCATGGGAGACCAGGAGGAAGCACCTGGCTCCTGGCTTCAGATTGGCGCAGCACGCTGGCCACAACACGCCCGCCTTAGCGGCCACTTGGGGTGTGAGCCAATGGAAAAAGGAATACCTTTCTCCCTGTCTCTCTCTCTCTCTCACTGTCTAACTCTGCCTGTCAAAAAAAAAAAAAAAAAATTCATAGAGAGAAAGAAATCATCAAACAAATGATACAAGTTTCCCAAAACTAGGATATGAGTTTTTGGATTACAAGATCCTATCCAGTGTCTACCTAATGTATGAAAAATAAAAAGGCTAAACCCACATTAATAAATGTAAATATAAAATTGCGAAACGACTTGGATAAAGAAAAAATCCTGCAAGCTTTCAGAGAGGAAATTGACAGCGAATACAGTTGGCATTGGATTGATCGACAGATTGATAACATTAAAAACTAGTACACAATGGAACAATGGCTAAATAATTTTGAGAAAATTCTTTTTATAAGATTTATTTAGTTGTTATTTTGAGAGACAGACAGAGAGGAAGAGATGGAGAGAGAGAGAGAGAGGGAAGGGGAGGAGAGGGGAGGGGAGGAGAGGAGAGGGAAGAGGAAGGGAGGGGAGAGGGGAGGAGAGGGGAGGGGAGGAGAGGGAAGAGGAAGGGAGGGGAGAGGGGGAGGGGAGGAGAGGGGAGGGGAGGGGAGGGGAGGAGAAAAGAAAAGAAGAGAAATCTTCCATTCTTTGGTTCACTCTCCAAGTGGTCACAATGGCCAGGGATGGAACTCCATCTGGGTCTCCCGTGAGGATGGCAGGGACCCAGATACTT